TGCTCCTACCACACTGCAGCCTGCAGATGGCTATAGCTAGCTCTAGATAGCCCTGATCATATTTTTAAAGTCAGTCTATCATGTGTGGGATCAAATATAGAGTACACTCATTATTGAGGAAAATGTAATCTTTTCCTTGATTATATTAGTACTTAATTTGTCAACAACAATTTTTATCTGCTTCTTGTGAAAATATTCCTATTGTATCCAGCATACTTTGCATACTTCTTGTACAATTAATGTTTCCAAGAGTACGTACAAGAAGTAAAACAATGCAATTAAATAAAAAAAATGGTATGGGTCATATATATACCCGTAAATAATACTACCACACACATGCAGTTTATTGGCTCTTTTATAACGCAGGAATTTTGCAAAAAATCTTATAAATTTTTCATCCCAAAAGAGATGCATATATCTTACTAGCTATAGTAGCTTAGGAATATCGATATACATGCATATATGTATATATCCTGAAAAGCGATTATAAGAAATTTCCAAGATAGCGAATTAAGAAATGGCCTAGACAGATTTTGCTATATGCGTCAATACTGTACATATATACAGTGAATTTTAATTAGAGTTTATTTTTTTTGCAGGGAAATTTTAGAGTTTCAGATGAACGATTTGACCAACTCTCACGAATTAGGAGACTGTACATACAGTAGTGTCCCTACTTGGATAAGGTGTGTACCAAGAAATTAACAAATACGACAAGCATGCGCAATGACATGTAAAAATTAAATTAATTAAATATTGACGTATATTGTCCACATACGTCGATTTCCTCAAACTAAAAAGAAGGTCTTTGTTTGGGCATGGTTTGACTAGAATTAACTATATAACTAGTCTCTAATTTCTGATGAATTATTGATATCTCTTAATTAATCCAAAGTGTCACCGCTAATGCATGAGTGGTGCCGCCTGACATTAACATGTGAGCCCACATGTTGGTGCACCGACAATATACATACTCATGGCATTGAGGACTTTCTTTTTGCTCTCTAGCTTTTGCATGCATGACTAGTTTGACACTCTGTTCAGAGTTTTGTTCCCTAGCTCTCGTTGCTGTGGCTAAATTACGAATCAGCAGCTTAATGTGTGTTAGCTTTATATATGTAATTAAAAAATAGATATATATGCTCGTCAATTATATATCTATAAACAATATGAAGCTTGTAGCCCTCACTATATGTATCATTTTGTTAGCGGCAAATCATGAGTTAAATCTCACAATAACTAAATGTCATGACAAATATATTATACCGCAATTGGGACGTGGTTTTATATATATCACTAAAAAACCAGAATTTCCTTAGCAGCCAAAAACCACCAAGAATAGCATCAAAACCGTCAAGGGAATATGTTTTGTCGGTCAACCGCCAAGTCTAGATCAACAAGGAAATCCAGGTGCTAATCGTAAGGGAAAGTTTTCTGCGCACTCCTACATAATGTCCTACATCTACTTCAAGTATATTTTGTGGAAAAAAAATAAAATTAACAAGTATTCACTTTTGTTCGATTAACAGAGTATATATATTTTCATGTATATATCATTTACAGCAAAAACCTATGTTTGCTAGTTAGTTGACGGGTCGATTATATATTATACCATATCTTTCTGACAGATATATATATGCTAGAATTGTTCAATCTCACTAAGTCTAACCATACATATATATTACATATGTATAGTCCACAATATTTTTCCACAATAATATAATGACGAATTAATATAATTTGTGTAGTATTTGTCAATGTTTTCTTTTATAACTCTGTTTTTAATGTTTAGAACATTAAAAACATGATCTCCTGTGCACATCTCTTATTAATCATATACTATCTTTTTTTAATATAAAACAATGTTAAATTTTGGACCTATTAGCCATGTTTAATTTTATATAATAAATGGAATGCCATGGTGTTAAATTGTAGTTTTCTACATAGTGAGACGTCCAAGTATGTGCGAGGTTTATCCCCACTAGGGAAACATTGGCATCTGTTTCTTCCTCCTTGTCATCTTTGTTCTAATATGTAGAATCCAAAAAAAACAAATCGCAAATCAATCTAAGAAAACAGAAGAATTATAGTGGTTAATTAATGCAAAGAATGGCCAATGTACTACATAGTTGTTAGTACAGAAAAATAGATCCTCTGGTGAAATGTAAAGTATAACTGATTTGATAAATAGTATGATTGGTAACACAACAAATATTAGTGGGGAAATATAGTATTCCTGGTGATAAAGAATAAAATATTATTATTTGCAATATGTCTTTTTAGAAATTAAGGGCATCAAGAAAAAAAAGTCAACATCAAAGTGCCTTTCACCCCTATCTACACCACAAACATCCACTTCTTAGCTCGATTCAAATATGCGTTGGCTCACTCAACTCCCAACCCTACTAACATGGTGTGAGTGCCGACATCACTATTCCTTCAATGTCGCGTTATACGATCCTTATCACCCCATTATTATATATCTACAATATTTATGAAATGGTTATATAGATAAAACTGTCCCTACATTTCTACTTATCGGTGTTACGGATTAAGTATACCTCCTATACTTGTATTTGTAACCGTCAGGAATACCGCATATCTGGTATTATACATATATAAAGGAATGTTCAAATATGAGAATATAGCATATAAGAATGGAAGCTCCTTCATAAAAAAGAGAAGATATATTAAATAGTTATATAGATAAAAACTATTTTCCCTACATCTCTACTACTTAACATAATTACTAATGAAGTGGTCTCTAGTGAAATTACTGTAGATGGGCCGGCTTATATAGAAGTGTGTGTTATTTGCAACATTTTCCAAAACAATTGATATTATATGTTGATAGCCATTGATATTATTTTTTGTCCACTTTTAGCTTTGGAGAAAAGTATAGTAAAATTTATTAAATGATAGTATATGATACATATTAATTTTAAAATCAATGATAGTATAATTTTAAATTAGGTAAACAAAAATTACATTATTATATTTTTCAAAAATAATTATCCTATAGTATTACAATTTTTGTACTATGTGTAGTCCTCACATAATTAAAATATAAAATGTGAATTTCAACAAGCATCTCATAGACTAAAAAAAATAGAAAGGTCGAACAAAATGTACTACGAAAGTATCTTTTGTGTAAAATATACTCATGTTATATTTTCCTATGTATCCAACCAGTTAACCCATGCAGATCTATACATGTATATATAGCCAAAAAAAATTGCATATATTCTCCAGGGTGTCGGACCACCAAAAGGAGACTGTTCTGATGTTTGCAACTAGATATATATCCAGTTCACACAACATATATATGGCTGTGTTTAGTTCAGCGTAAAGTTTGGATTTTGGTTGAAATTGGAGATGATGTGACTGAAAAGTTGTGTGTGTATGATAGGTTGATGTGATGGAAAAGGACTGAAGTTTGGATCTAAACACAACCATATGTACTGAGCTATTGCCAGAAATTAAATTATCTAGGGGTCCCACTACTTGCATAAATAGTTGCATATACTGCCACTATTTCTTTTCTTTTTTCCTGACGGCCAGTAGCTCTCATCGAGCACACCGAGTTATATACACATGTAGCATTTTCCAGGATTAATTATATTCTCTCAAGCCAGCCGTAACAACAAGTTAGCTCGCCCGTCAAGGTGCATCAACTGTTCCCTGCCCAGAAGAATTGCAGATTTAATTAATCATGACATGCCACACGTTAATTGAATTTAACACACAAAGATATATATAAAAACAAACCAACAGCCACACACACCCATCATTAATTAATCACCAATGCAATCTATGACTTGCAAAAGCTGTAGGCCCAAAAGGTTTTTGCTTTAGTATTCCACTACACAAAGCAAAAGTTGCTGGATAGCTAGCTAGGCAGGCATACGACAGCACAATGCAAAATTAGTTGTTTCTTTTATAGTTTGCGTGATACTATATTACCTCTATTCTTTTAGTCGACGTTTTATTTGAACATTGGCACAAATACATATTGTATATATATACCACCTTCTTGTGTGTAAAAAAATGTTATATTCATACAAGTGTATTCATGCCGAATTTGATATCAAATTATGATATTGTTTTCCTTAAGAATTCAATATATTTTTATCTATTATAGTGATTTAATTAAAGTTTGGAGATTTAACTGCATATATTAGTATTATAGGGCGTCATCATTATAAGAGTAGTATAGTACTCCAAACAATTTGCAGCTATTGATGATGGACACGGTAGAATAGTAGTGGGTGTTGTTTGTTGGTACTAGTAGTAGCTCTATATACATATCTCTCTCTCTAACCCTTTTCTCTAGGTGGGGGCCGAGCATGCAATATATGCAAGGATCTCTTGTCTTGGTGCCATCTAGTCTCTTCTTCTCTGTGATTCTCTCTCTGTTTACGACATGGTGCATGCATGTCATGGCATGTGCGCGTTGTACTGAATAATTCAGCATTCAAATATATACATTTTTGAGTAATATTTTTTGTGATAATTCCTATTTGATGTTATATTTTTTTGTTCTTTGATATTACACAAATTAACCCGGCCTGAATATCGATAAATTAAATGATCGATGCTATATATACTTCTATTCCTGCATTGCATGGTATCCTCTCGCTGCAGGGTTTTTTTTTTGGGATGAAATGTATGCAGAGGTAGTATAATTTAATATATAGGACGTATGGTCACTGAACTATTGCAGGGTATACGGGTGTAGCAAGCAGAAAATATAATTTTAATGAGTAAAATAATGAATAACTTTTTTGTCTGCTGCCAACAAATAATTGCAGGGGATATATATTTGGCGCCCATACTTCCATGATGAACATGGATAAATACAAGAGGTAATGTTTCTTCATGACTCCCAATTCCCAAGAAATATTATCATCACCATTTACTGAGCACAGACATGCATGCTACTATATGGTGTTGTGTGTGGGCATCTGAGAGACTCTTCCAAAACCAGCCTCTTCCTTTTGTTCCCTCTTCATTCTCACCACCACCATCAACCTTTTTCAATTCCTCTCTATGATGTCAGCCCAGGTGTGAGACGATATGCATGATCCTCATCTCTTTCTCTCTCTCACTCTCTCTCTCTAGTGAAGTTGCCTTCCCTCTCTCTCTCACTCTCTCTCTAGTGAACTTGCCTTTCTTTCTTCCTCCACAACCTCATTTACACCTTTAGGGCTAGATGCACACACACACACAAGACACAACTACTTTACCTCTCCATCTCTCTCTATTTATAACTGTAGTTTGCCTTCTTCTCCATCCATTATGCTATCTCCTCTTCTCCTTCTCCTCCTACCTTGAGCTAGCTCCTTACTACCAATCCTCTTCCATGGGAGATCCCTACACCAACTTCTTGAGAGGCTACCACCACCACCACCGCTCCCACCACCCCCTCCACTTCCCTCCGCCGCCGCCGCCGCCGCCTCCGCCCTACGCCGCCTCCTTCTCCGGCCTCTACTCCTCCTACCTCCACCCACCACCTCCCCCTTCCTCCCCTCCGATCAGGGAAGCCCTCCCCCTCCTCAGCCTCACTCCCTCCACCACCCACGACGACGATCACCACCACCGCCGCCATGATCAAGATCATCACCACCATCACAAGCAAGGCCAAGAAAAGAACAGCCATGGCGGCGGCGGCGCCGCTTCTTGCAGCAACAACGACGACAAACGAGAATCACCATCAGCAGCAGCAGCAGCCGATGATCAGGCGGCGGAGGTGACCGTGGCCCTGCACATCGGCCTCCCGAGCCCGAGCCCCTCCGACGCCGCCGCCGCCGCCGGCAACCAAGCTGCAGCAGCAGCAGCAGCAGAAGCATCGGCAGCAGGTGGAGGAAGCAGCAGGATGCAAGTGGAGGAGGAAGGAGGAGAGGAGGAGGATGAAGACGAGGCGGCGGCGGCGGCGGCGACGGCGACGCTGCCGCTGGGTTGCGCGTCCATAGGGATAGGGAAGCTGACCAAGGGGCAGTACTGGATCCCCACACCGTCCCAGATCCTCATTGGCCCTACCCAGTTCTCCTGCCCCGTCTGCTACAAGACCTTCAACCGATACAACAACATGCAGGTTAATCTAATCTCAACCATGAACAATCCTTGCTTTATCCTTTCTTTCCTTTGCATCCATCTGGTAATCAATTATCTTAGCTTTAATTGCTGTTCTCTGATTAACTCTTCTCCTCTTGCTGTGTTCTCATGCGGTTTTAATTTTCTTTTTTTTTTTTGGTTAATAGTGGTTCTTGGTGTTTAAATTTGAGTTGATCATTAGTCGTGAACGATCGAATTGGAGCTAGCAGTGCATGCATCGATCGATCTGTATGCAAAGCTTCTTGCGTCTTCTTGTGTTTGTACATGTGTGACACTGTCTGGATCAGTAGTTGACTAAAATCGGAGGAGTAGCTTGAGTGTGTATATCTGGTGGTGGATCTGGGAGGAAGAGCCGCTAGCTGCTCGGCTCGAGTACGTACTACCAACTGTACTCGCCGTGTGGAGTAGCTTTGATAGTATCTGACGCCTCTCTCTTCTTCCTCTCGCCGTGTCCGGCGCTGGATCTCTGATGATTTGATTGAACCGGGCAGAGAGAGTAGACAGACAGAGAGGCATGCAGTAATGGCTACTGCTACCTCCCAAACGGCCATTGACATATGGAGATCGATCCATCGATCGATTCAGTATTACTGGTACTACTGGGAGTAGTGTTCTTGGAGTTTGAGCCGGCTATGCTCGTTGTGCCTTTTCAATTCGGAAGCAGTGAGAGATCTGATGAAAGGAGGAGGAGGGGAGTAGTAGCAAAAAGGCATCTTTATATATCTCTTTCCCTGCAGATTGATCAGTTCCTTCAAGCTTACACACACACAAACGCACAGATGTGCATCTCAAGCAACAGCTCCTCTCCTTCCTCCTTCTCCTCTCCCTGACGTCTCTCCTAGCTTCTCTCTCTCTCTCTCGCTGTTTTGTCAGTGCAACAAACCCCACCACGAGCAGTGCCATTCAGACCTTCACACACACACACCACCTTGCTGATGCCACTGTCCATCTCTGCATGCTCTGACCCTCTCCCCCTCTCCTAGCTTCGTAACATCCCTTTTGCAGCTTGCTTCTCTCTCTCCCAATCCCTCTTCTTGGATGCCATCTCTGCATAGATCCATCAATCAAGGAGAGAGGGAGAGAGAGATAGAGTGTGAGCTCCTCTCTGATACATCCAGCTGGTCCCTCTCTGCAAACTTAACTTATTCCTCCCATCTTGAAACACATCCACACACACTTCACTTGCACCGTTCTAGCTCCAACCTATGCATCAACAACAAGCTTGTAAATAAACAACCATATTATCAATGGAGGATCTTTAAAACTCAAACTCATTCACCATTCTAGCTAGCCGCTAGCTTTGCAAACACAGCCTTATATGTTATCAATAGAGGATGTATCATTGATTGATGATAATGGTAGGACTAATATGTTGATAATTTGCAGATGCATATGTGGGGGCACGGGTCGCAGTACAGGAAGGGGCCGGAGTCGCTGCGGGGGACGCAGCCGACGGCGATGCTGCGGCTGCCGTGCTACTGCTGCGCGGCGGGGTGCCGGAACAACATCGACCACCCGCGGGCGCGGCCGCTCAAGGACTTCCGGACGCTGCAGACGCACTACAAGCGGAAGCACGGGATCAAGCCCTTCATGTGCCGCAAGTGCGGCAAGGCGTTCGCCGTCCGCGGCGACTGGCGCACCCACGAGAAGAACTGCGGCAAGCTCTGGTACTGCGCCTGCGGCTCCGACTTCAAGCACAAGCGCTCCCTCAAGGACCACATCCGCGCCTTCGGCCGCGGCCACGCCGCCTGCGGCATCGACTCCTTCGACGACCTCGACGCCGATGACGACCCCTCCTCCGACCTCGACCACGCCTCCGCCTCCGCTTCGCGAGTAGGGTGAGTGTTTGATCGATATCGAGATCGAGATCGAGCTGAGCTAATTAATTTCCATGATAATTAGTTAACCGTGCTGCTACTACTACTATGTCTGTGATTCTGTGTACACCACGGGATTGGAATGGAGAGGATATGGGGGTATAGATGATGCATGATACTGCGAATTTTCAAGGGTTTTTTTTTTAATTTTGGGGGTATATTAATGAATTAGTTGATGATGAGGAACAAATTAATTACTACATTTGCAGCAAGCTAGCAGATGTGTGTGTACGTACTTTGTTCTCTAGAAAGTACTACGTACGACTTGAGTTCTAATCGTTTGGTTGGATGGAGATACAGAACCCTATAGCGGCTTCATTGTATGTGCAGACTTTTCATTTGATTTGGTATATGGTCAAATTGGTGATACGGGTTAATTAAGATTAATTATCTGTGTCATTTTGAGAAGATTTATATCTATACATATATATATATTAGAGCACTATATATGCATGCATTCAAGTAAGCAGGGTTTTTGTACTGCTCTATAGCTCTAGCTTGATTTCTATTGATATACTGCTGTAGATTGGCGCCATCGCATGTGTTCCTTTATATATGTTTTGAAACAATATATGTTAATTTCTTTAATTATATATGAAAGCTAAGAGGTTAATTTGTTTCTCTACTTGTACTATATGTTTGTACTCTCATAATGTTGCGTTTGACTGGGGAAGGAAGTGGGAATAGGAGTAATTAAATAATTACTAGCTAGCTAATTAACAATGTTGAATTGATTAATTTCAAATCTGCCAGTTTAAATTTACCAGGGAAACAATTAGATGGCCAATGCAAGCTAATTACAAGCTCTAGCTAGCTACTACGTGCTACTCCTTACGTGAGCCATTACTGTTTTGTTTCTCTTGTTCTGTGATGCACAAAATAGAAATCCAACACTCATTGCCATGCATGCAAGAGGTTGATGTGTGTTATTCTTTGGCAGAACGCATGTACAAAGGGTTTTAATTTTTAGCCTTATGCAGTCTTAAATTTTAAACGGTTATATATTATCTTATAAAAAGGGTTTTTTTTTTGTGTGTTCAAATGTGTATGACACTAACACTAGAAAAACATCGACCTGGTGTATGACTGGAAAAAAAATCATGTAGTAGAATATGTATGTGCGCCCATTTTCTTTAATTTTGTAACATCAACCTAGCTATTTGTGAAACTCGATTCTGCAACTATTGGACAGTACACATTGTTTTCCTGAATTTGTATATTTTGTTCAAAATAATAAATTGAAAATGGCTATAAACTAATTAAGAACATTTTTATGATAACAGTGTCCGAGCTATGATGCACAATAAAAACTGAGATTTCTTTCTGAAATGTAACAGATCTGTGGGTGCATGCATGCATGTATCTTCATGCATGTAATTGAAAAAAAATAATTAAACAAACATAGTTGAGAGTTTCGTTTGCAAGTGTTTTCTGCATTGCAAATTTTTCAAATAATGAAATCTCTATGCTGTTTGCTCTGGATAGCTGAACTCAACTGTTTTTTTTTTTACTGGAAAGACTACCGGGGCTTTGCCTAGTAGTATGAACTCAACTGTATTGGCCCGTCTATATGTTTAGGGTGTGTAGATGTTTGAAGCTGCAGAGAGATCTCTCTACCATTTGAATCCAACTGCATCGTGTATAACAATAAAGGCTAGTCAGCATGAATGCAAACATTTCCTAATTTGCTTTAATTAGATCTGTGCAGAGATCAAATAGCTTACTCCCTCCGTCCCAAAATAAACAAACATATATAGTACGAGATATATAAGCTAACTAAAATAAATAAACCTAATACAGGATGAAAGATGGATTTTCTTCTTTTGGGATGGAGGGAGTATATATTGATGTGTTATCTTTGATTTGCATACTGATATATATTAATTGGACAAGCTAATTAATTCATCAATTTTTCTGATACAGTAAATATTATTCATGTAAGCAATTAATGGGAGGAAAAACTTGTCTTGAAGAAGTATGATGACTTAAGCCTTCACCGTTTGCCTATGGAAATTTAAATTTTAAATGTTAATTTTGGTGTTGAATTTGAGGTGGTTTCATCATAGTTTACTTTTACATTAGCTTTTAAATTGCTTAAAACATAGTACTCCCTCTGTCCCATAAAAAATCAACCTAGTACCGGATATGAGGTATCCAGCTTCATAGTAATAGAATATACCACATCTGATCTTAGATTCGTTTTTATAGGATGGAGGGAGTAGATATTAAAGTTTTATCTATAAGTTATTTTTTGGTTGCTAAAACGGCTCATCAGAAGACTGAAATGGCATGTAGTAGAAAAATGGTGGAATCTTTTATTAATTTAGTACTCTCTTCGTCTTAAAATATGGTAATTTTTAGCTATATATAAATCTGGAGATACGCTTGTCTAGATTCAGATTATATTTTAGGACAGAGTTAGTATAATATTACAAGGATTGATTAGTGGAGTAAAACAGTCGTGCATGCAAGATGTGAACAATATAAGTGGAAAAGAATAGGGTTTTGTTGAAAAGAAAAAAGAACAGATGGGAATTGGAGGAGCTGTGTATATGCTTCATGTAGCTCTTTCAGTATGCATGCCTGCATGCAACACACACCCTGGTGGATCCCAATCCATGAGAATCTCATAGCTAGTTTTGCTTTAATGGTCTCATCTTTTGCATAAAGATATGTGCTTTGCTAGGCTTTATCTCTTTGAGAGACCTCCCCTAACCTAATAGCCCTGACAGAACCCTTTCAACAGTGTGAAGCCCATCCATGCAAGCTAGCTTTGCCCCAATGGCAAATGCAATGTGCTTTCAGCTAGTTATAAGAATCACGAGACATGGGTCAATATATCCCTGTCCAATTTGCATGGGTTAATTGAAAAAAAAGGAGTGATAAAAGGTAAAGGTAAATGATTGCACAAAATCTAATGGCCTATATCTGATGAACTATGCCCTGTCCTCTACAGTTTGTTTTATCTTTATCCGCCGCTGATTACACCCTGCAATGATCAAAGCTATAAAAGAGGGCTTAAAGTATTTTTCTTTTCCTCCTGCCTGATACCTTGAGCTAGCTTTTCTTCTTTTCTTAGCCTTTAGCTTTGCTACCTTTTTCAGGTTTATTTAAAGGATAATCGATCCCAAACAAAAAAAAAGGAAGAAGAAATCAACTATTATTTACTATATCCCATTTTTAAAAGTTTAATTAATCACACAAGCTAGATTTCCATTTTCCATCTGTCAATAAAAAATTCATCATATATAACCTTCAATGTGTATATAGTGGTAGTAGTGAATGCATGCATGCTATGTACAATTAGTAATAAAAAAATAGCATGTCAACATAAACTGTTTCATATTGTGCAAGCCTAATTAATTATTAAGCAGTTAATTGATTTAAGTTGGCAATTAGCTAATGAATTTTGAAAGGAAATGCGCGTGATAGTGCCAGGTTAACTGTAGATTTCCACAGTGGAGAGCTGTTTACCTGTCAGTCATATGACGCAGCAAGCGCCAACATACAGTTTTAAGCGTCATGTAGAAAATGTGTCATGATAGCGTTTTGTTTGTTAGCTTTTGGTTTCTTTTTCATGACTGCCGGCAGCCTGCGTACCGGGCTCTACTAGCTGTCTATCTCTACAAAACTGTAGCTCTGTCATTCAATTCTGAAGATAAATAAAGCCGACGCAGCCGTTAACTTCTTCGATCGATCATGTTCTCATCTTTAATTTGGTCCGAGAGAGAAGGAGCTAGCAGATCTATATTTTCTCTGTTCCCAAATATAAATATTTTTAACAGAGACTAAAGTAATGAAGAAAAGACCATTGAGCTTATCTTTAAATGAGGGGGTGATTGGCGAACGAGAGAAATAGCGCTCTAAGAAAAATACTTATATTCGACTACAAGTTTTAAGTCATAAAAAATATTTTTTATATATTTAGGAACTGACGGGTAGTAGCAGACCATGGCAGTCGGGATAAATGAATAATTTTATGATCATATCGGAGCTAATTAACTGATGAAATGCATTTTTTTCTTGAATTATTTGAATTAACTGCTTTGTTGAATTATATATCATCATATAATATGCTTTGGTGAAACTTGATGTTGGAGTTAATTTTGTGATTTCTTCTCGTAGTTTATTTTCTACCACTTGCTTTTATATATACTGCACTAATAACATAAATTTAATTTTTTTACCTTTAATTTTTTTTATTACGCTGTTCATTTTTCTAGGATTTATTGGCTTAGGTTATTTTAGTTAAGCTAAGCTTTTGGCTTTTATGGTATATAATCAAGTGGCTTTCAAGGCTTACCTCTAGTCCATATTAGCCAAAAGAAAGCCACTGAAACTTAGCTTTTGGCTTAAACAAAAGCTAAATAGTTCAAGAGCGGGGTTTATGTACGGCTATAGAAAAAAAAACCTAAGTAAAGCATGTCTATTTGTTTGGCTTCTACCTTTCGCCTTATAAGTTGCTCAAACAAGGAGAGACCATAGTGTAGTAGCCCATTTTCCTGTGTAAAAATGTTAGTAGATTTTGTTAATTACACACGTACTTGTGGGTTACGTGTGAAACGGTTATTCCATTGTAAATCCATGGCAATGCATGGTTCAGGCATCAATGAAAAAAGAGGTGCTTAATTCCCATGCATGTAGGAGTATGCCAACTTGCCAAGTGCATTATTAATTTGCTGTTGTTTGATAACAGTGAAAAAAAATTAAAAAAAGAGATATATACTTAATATATATAGGGTATATCCTAAAAAAATCATATGTATATAATAATTGATTTCCATCTGGATAATTTTTAAACCCTTTTTAACAAGAAAATATCGTGTGCAATTTATTTTCATATATATCGGAGCCTTTCGTTTGTGGCAAGATAACTCTAGAACGAAATTGATAATGCGACGTTAGACACAGCACTCGCATGCGTGGTATGGCTGGCCACACTTATTTGTTGCTATTCCATAGCTGGAGGCGTTGAACACTATATTTATTTTATTAGAAAAAAAATACTAAACTACTAATGTTTTATTCTTATTTGAAAAAAGGTTTTAAAAATCATAATATTCATTTTCCCTCTCCTATTGCTCTTTTGTGGACTGAAAAAAGCCCCTTCTTTTGCTCTACTACTTCCAGTGTAATAAATCTGGACAACGCTTTATCTGAATTTATATATAGTACGAGTCACGTCTTCTCTTAGGTTAAGTTTTTATGCCACGGAGAGGTATCTACTTCTCTACTTGTCCCTTTCATGCTAGCTTCTTCCGTGACCGGTCACTAAGATTCTTTCACATAAGGCCAAGCACATGTCATAATTGACTGCAGCAAATATACTCTAGGAGAGTAGTAGTACTGGTAGTATTTTTCATGATAAGAAAGAAAGATACCCTCTA